GGTCCACTCACTTTGCCACAGGAGATGGATTTTTGCTTTTATAAGAGACACAAAACACCTGAGATCTGTCCGGACTATGCTAAGGTCCAGATCGTCAGTTGACCCGGCTAGTCGGTCAGCCTGTTCATTGCCATGGATACCAGAGTGGCCTGGCACCCATACCACCTTGATTGATTTGTTGGCACTATGTAGCTTACGAATGATATTACCCAGCAGTTCATTTTGAGTGGTTTCTAAGGATTTAATGGCTTTAAGTGAACTTAAGGAATCGGAAAAAATGACTATTCTATCGTGGGTCGTCGATAGTGCAAAATCAATAGCTTTATCAATAGCAAAAAGTTCGGCAATAAAGATCGATGTATGATTCGGCAGTCTGAACCTCAACTCACATTCATTCGACCATACACCTGCACCCACTACTTGCTCGGTCTTGGAGCCGTCGGTATATATATGAAAAAAAGGAAGATGTTTAATAAGGATCTCTCTGAACCTCTGGCGTACCTCCACCTCTGGCGCCATGGCCTTGGTTGATGGAAGCCAAGCTTCCATGATGGTAAAATTGGGTGTTTCCCATGGCGCTATATTTGTTTGAACCAGGGTATCGATGGTAGAGAGATCTATACCGACTTTAAGGATGAGGTCGTGGAGTCTTGCGGTAAAGGGCCTAATGGCTCCATTACCGTTGGGGTGGCTCGGGTCTCGAGCCACCTCGCGCGGCATAGGTCAGCGCCAGCTGGCCGCGTCTGAGTCAGAGGGGAGGTACTCCTGACTCCACCCCAAGACGCTCAATCCTTGAGCATTTGAGGGCCCCAAGACAACTACGCACACATGCATTCTGCACAACATCCAAACCTTTCAAAGTTGAGGCCGATGCCGAACCATACACGATTGACCCATAATCTACTTTAGATCTAATCAGGGCTTTATATACCATTAGCAAAGACTTTCTATCAGCTCCCCATTTGTTTCCAGAAATGCACTTTAATAAATTTAGTGCTTTTTGACATTTCTTCTTTAAATGACCAATGTGGTCTTTCCAATTAAGTCTACGATCAAAAAGTAGACCGAGAAATCTAGCAGAATTTTGAATAGGTATTGGGTGGTGGTCTAGAGTTAGCCTGATGTTCGGCATTCTCCTTCGTGAAAAAATTACCCCAATACTCTTTCTTGTGGAAAACTTAAAACCCCACTGGAGGCCCCAGTTATGAATCATATCCAGTGCCAATTGGATGCGATTTGCTGAGAATTCTGCATTACTGCTGGAATGCCATAATGCACAATCATCAGCGTACCGTGAGTATTTAAGGTTCCGAGGGGGAGCTGGTATGATGTCATTGATCATACACAAAAATAATGTAGGTGACAAGACACTTCCTTGTGGGACCCCGTTTGCCTGGACAAAAATATCCGAGTAAGTGACATTGTCAGAAAACAATTTGACAGCAAAAGTTCTGTCAGAAATGAAATTTTGAATAAAACAAGGCAAGTTTCCACGTAATCCGAAAGCATAAAGTTTTCTGAGTAGGCCATATCGCCATGTCATGTCGTAGGCTTTTTCAATGTCTAAAAATACTGAAATCAAAAAATGTTTTTTGGCAATTGCCTCTTGAATATGACTGGCCAGTTTTACTAGCTGATCGAGAGTTTGGCGTCCTTTTCGGAAACCGCACTGCTCGTCAACTAGTAAATTCCTGGAATTTAAAAAATGCAATAGCCTACTGTTAACAATTCGTTTCATGATCTTGCATAAGCAACTTGTCAACGCAATTGGGCGGTAGGAGATGGCATGTTTGGGATTACCCCCTCCTTTCAATATGGGAATGATGTGGGCGAAGTGCCATGAGTTTGGAAAAGTCTGGCTTTTCCAAATTTCATTGTACACTTCTAGCAACTTAATCATGGCATCATGATGAAGATGCTTTATCATCTCATACCGAATCTCATTGGGGCCAGTGATATGCGGCAAGACTGTAGCTTTTATGTACTCGTGTGCGTCGTCGCAAAATGTTTTAAATAATATAAATCAATATAAAATAGATTAAAAATAAAAGTAAAACTTATTTAACCATTAAAAGTTAAAACAAACCCGAGACCGATAAAAGAAAGCTAACATGCGTAAATAAAACAAACAAATAAAAATGCTCCAGTTCCAGGTGGCTGCCCAGAACTCCCACAGATGGTGCTGGTCTGGAGGTGCTGCGCTGTCAACAGGGGGGACTCGCCAAGTCTGGACTCGCAACATAGTGGGGGTACCTCACGTCCCCTACAACCCGAACCGGCGCGGCGGGCTTAGACGGCCTAAGATCGCCTGTGTTTCAGCAGTTCACCCGTGTCTACCTGTGTCTACCTCTTGACTGTGTCTACCTCTTCCGCCATGTGACTTCGCCTGCTCCTTTCGACTCTCCTCCTGTATGTCTCCTTCCTCCTGTGTGTGTTGTAAATTGTGTAAAAAGCGCCTATTCAGTAATTTTCTAACGTATGTCTCCTCCGGTATTTCTCTGTTTACTTGGCCGATCTGATCCCCTCAAAACGAACCTGATATATATATATATATATATATATATATATATATATATATATATATATATATATATATATATATGTGTGTGTGTGTGTGTGTGTGTGTGTGTGTGTGTGTGTGTGTGTGTGTGTGTGTGTGCTTCATTTCTTTTCTTTTATTAGAGGATGGAGGCTTCAGTGAATCGACTAATAATTGAGGATGCTTATTAATTTTGGAGATATTTTTATTATGGATTAATTTTTAAAGAAATATGGTAGTAACTGTAGTAAAGGAAGACAAAGATCCAGGCTAGTCAGGTTTATGATAAGAACAATGTATTGTTATTCAATCTAATTTGCCTAATCCCCGATATAGAGGTAACGTGTTCATGCAAAGTCTCGATTTCCTCCTTAACTTTTCCCATTCCTTCTCAACATGATGCATTAGCTCCTGGGAGGTTGTTTCATTAGCTGCTTTTCAAATATTGACAATATTTGCCCAGACATTTCTCGTTGGGTTTCAGTCACATCCCTTGCTTGGTGGTTTTAGTCACGGAACCACTTCCTAACTGCCCTAGACGTGTGTACAGGGCAGTTATCCTGCACAAATATGATTGTTTCTGCGAAGGGTCAAGGCATAACAGCGTACTGGTGGGAGGAACATTTTTTTCTAAAAATACGATTTATCCAAGATGCATTTCCCCGTTTCGCCAGCATCATGCAGGAAGACCCACTCCCACATATGACAGCTCGTGTGACCACTCCTCGCCGTTTCATAGATAATTCGTTTGTCGAATGTGAAAAGTGAATAATGATATAATGAGTCCGAACATGAAATATGACGTATAGAATACTACGTATAAATGAATATCTCAAATTGAAATGAATTAATTTGCCAAAAAATTGAAAAGGGTTAATAACCTTTTATCTCATCCAGCACAAGCTTTCCGTGCATTGTCGGTGCATTTTTTCTCTCTCCTTATTGCTTGCTCTTCGCTGGTAATTTAGATCTTCCTCCACATACTGCTAGGCGAACTGGAGGCAACGTAAGAGGTGTCGTTCGTTCAACCTTTCTTTGATGACGTTCTGTGATGTATCCGATCTGCATGTAGTCGTTTTCTTCACCAGATGCTGTAGGTCTTCCTCAATTTTAGCTGCAGTGGTGAGGGAGGGCGGTCGTTATGGGTGCCCTCCTCCTCCTCCCACCATATCTATATGTATACCATCGTCCGGAAGATGCCCAGCTCTTTCAATTTATTACTTTCCCTCAACCCATTGTAACAGCCTCTATTTGCGATTTCAGCTTGCCTTGCGTCCTTCCTGAAAAAGGTGTCAGCTTGGCAGCCTCGTTTTGACCTCGGATTTCCCATGTCATTATGAGGTCTTAGACCATCGGATATATTTTCCTTTATATTTAGCATACGTAAGGATTATCTACGAAATAGATATTCAGGAATTGACAAATATTCACTGGCATAAAATATGAAATATGCGATTTCGTGTTATTATTTTTAGTTACTTCCTCTATTTGTAAACTACTTAAGTTCAGAGCGAACAAATAAGCTTTTCACAAACCGGGATAATATTTCTAAGGTAATGTATAGAAGATTGATTTTGATGTGAAGATTTGGTGTGATAATTTCATCTACACCTACGCATATACTGTATTATATTATATTTTAAAAAAATAAGTGATAAATTCTGATTTGATTAGAATAAACAAGATATATAGCACATATATTCGGAGTCGTTTTGGAGTTTTGCTAGTCACCCTCCTTGGAATCACCCAGCTAGTAATTACTCGAGTTGGAACAAGCAAACATGTATTTTCTCGATCAGCTGTTGGAATGAGAATGCGCCTCCTCAAAGAAACATCAAAACTTTTGGTTTAATAATAGTTGAATATACATGCTCTTTCGCAATTCATCACCAAGTATGACTTCGAATTTCCATCGACGCTGCACACACACACACACACACACACACGCACACGCACACGCACGCACGCACACGCACACACACACACACACACACACACACACACACACACACACACACACACATACATACATTGATAACGGATCTATATAGTCACTGTAGCCTCACTGTGAATTTTGTGTTTACTTCATGTTCTATATTGAAGAAATTAATATGACATGGTTTCTGTTTATTCAACAAATATTTGGTGCTGCCAAAAAAAGGATTAAAAAAACAATCACTGTAATAGTTCGATTGGCCGCAGCAAGATGGTGCAGTCACTATAAGTATTTGCTTAGTCTTAGTCAATTTACACAAAGTTTTAGCTGATTTAGTAGCCATACAGAGCTGTTTAAAACATTAAACTTGCACGAGTTATAATACAATATGTTAGATTAACAGATCAACCATTAACTATCAATGTCTATGGTTTGCTCACTGTAAACACTTTTAGTAATATGTAAATCCTCTAAAAAAAAAAAAAAAAAAAAAAAAAAAAAAAAAAAAAAAAACACGAGAACGGCTTAGAAAAAGTAGGCTCTCCGTTTGGCAGCTGCGTAAGTGATAGGGCAGTGAGCTTTGGCAATCTCATCATAAATGCTCCTGTTTCCAATTGCGACTGGCGTTCTTTGGCTAAGTTTGTTATACAAATGTACGATGAAGGCATCTTGATGCTCCTGAAAAGTAGAAAGTAAAGTTCAGTTTTTGCCCTGAATATCAACTGTGTATTCAGAGTGAACTCAGGAAGACAAGACCATATTGATCATTCGAAAAAGAGAGTCATATACTGGCCTCCGCAAAACGTTCTCCGTTATTGTCCTGGAAATAGTTGTTCCAGTCAGGCCATCCGAATAGCTGCATTTCCTTCAGAGGACGCAGTGTCACGTTTGCACAATGATGGAGCAAAATTTCATTCAGATCTTCTGTTCCACACACCTTCTTCGCTATGGCAGTTGCTGCCCCAGGGCTGTTGACCCCCCATGTGGCTACCTGGAAGGCACAGGGAAACCGGAGCATACCTTTTCAGAAGCGTCTAAATTTAGACTTTAGACTTATTTAGTGTGTTACAATGCTCATACTTGGTGTGACAGCATGTCTGTTTATGTTTACTTCCCAAGAAATGGACGGGGTTACCATCCACTGGCAGTGCAGAATTTGAATTAGGGTCAGTAAGATTGTTAGTGGTGTCTAAATTCTCAAAATGCTGATAACGTGTCTTTATTACAATGATTATGAATTAAGCTACCAAATTACCAAATAATATTTCAAAAAACGTGTCAGCACACTATATTCTTTAAATCTGCATTTAATTATGTAACTAAAATAAATTACTTTGCATTCACCTTGAAGTTCTCCTTCAGATATACCATAAGTTCATAGGTGAACGGATGCCCTGCGTCGAAGTGCATGATGGCATTGTTGACCTCTTTGTCCTCTTCGTCGTAAGAAATCATGTTCCGTATGTGGGTAAGGTTCCTCACGCAGATACAATCGGTGTCACTGTTCAATCCTCCCCACAGCCACAGCATCACATTTCTCAGCAAGTTGGATATATTGTTCGCAGGCCAAGCTGTAAGGAAACATTGAAGTAGTACTATAAACGTAATAATAATGCGCAAAAAATACGAATAACGTTAATGAATAAAGAAATGAATAAAAATCTTGAAGGGAGCTCTGTTAATCAGAAGTTGTTTTAACTGAACAAGAATTAGAGGGAACTCTTTAGAAGGTAAGTTTGACTCTCTCGCTGTTAAGTCAGAGTGAATGGCACCCTCCCCTCTTTGTTTTGGCCATGCATTGGTACATGGCAGGAACTGGGATAACCGTCGGTAGAGAGGGTGAAAACCATTCTTAGGGAAGAATATCCACACACTCCTTTTATCAGAAGTCTAAAAACCTATTTTCAATATAAGTAATATACTTCAAAGGGTGCTGGGAAGATGCCAGACCTATATGCGGATGCGTGTGTCATGTGTATGGCATGTACTGGTGCTTGTGTAAATAGGTTTTGCACCTATTTTACGTGTTTCAACCTTGTGTCATTTCACTTTCTATGATTATTTCCTTTGTCTAATTCCATGTCTAGAAGAATGGTTGCTGCAACTTCGCACCTCACCATCACCAGCCTCTTGAAGACTGTTGCCAAGACATGATTGGTTGACTCAGATAACTCTCTGTTGTCACCAACGCATGCGACTTCGTCACTTCACTTCCGAACTTTCCGCTGTCTGGATGTTGGTTTCATACAGGCTTGGTTGCCGCAACTTCGCGATTTCATGCCTCAGATAACTCTCGGTTTGCTCATTGGACCGCAGGCTCCCGGGTAACTGATACAGCCTGAGAGGACTTAGCGCCCAGGCCGAGATCATCACTCCACGATCCTCCAGCAGAGCCTGACCACAGCAAGCAGCTCCAGGCATACCCAGGCCTTAGCCGTCGGGGAGCCGCACCAACCTCCTCATCGATCTCCACACTTCTCCAGCACCCAGCCATACCTGTCTGAACTCACACCACCATCAGTCACTCAATGGAGGGGGAGTACCTGTAGCCAATCCCTGAAACCTGCAGCATGGCATACTTCCCCCAGGTTGGGTCCAGGTCCATAACCGAGTCCTTGCACACAGACAGCTTCAGGCTCACTCATTGCACCGCAGGCTCTCCTCACTCCGGGGTAGCTGACACAGCTTGAAAGTACTTAAGCTACAACACCCAGGCCGAGATCAGCAAAGTTGAAGTTGAACACTCTCCACAATCCTCCAACAGAGCCCAACCACAGCAAGCGGCTCCAGGCCTACCCAGACCTTAACCATCGAGGAGCCACACCAGCTTCCCCACCAATCTCCACACTTCTCCAGCACCTGGCCATACCTGTGGTAACTCACACCCACAACAGTCTTTCACCAAAGATAATAGACCAGTCAAATAGACGATGATCAACCATCCTCTACATCATAACAGTTACGATCGTATTTCCTATCTCTAGGTATAATAAGGTTTTATTTCCAAAAAAGAATGGCTTGAGCTGCCAATCAGCATTAGCTTGCAAAAAGATAGACCAATCAGAGTGTTGACAGCTTCAGTAATCATCATTAAAGGAGCTAACACCGACGGGGCATTCACCCTTTACTTCCAACTTCAGGGATCCTTCAGGGCAAGTCGTCAGGCAGGACCTCAACCCGTCTCTAGCTCTTCACAACAGGTCTGGTCAAGCTGCCAAAGCCATGACTTCCTAGATCTTCCCAGGGGAATTCATGCAGGATTGTTTCAAAGAGACAATCTGATGGGTATTGTCATCCATTGGTAAATGAGCTAGGTGCCAATATAGCCTGAGTTAGCGGTCATGGATTATGCAAGTAACAGGTCCTATGCCGGCCGCACAGTAGTAGTAGTCTTTGGTTAGACACATGGTCCTGCCAACTGTACCCCATGATCCACCATAGGGACTTGTTACTAAAGGGCATTGGGACTCAACTCCAAGAGACTAGATAGCATCCAGGTTTCACTTCCATAGAGCAAAACTGGAAGTATTAAGACCTTGAAAACATATAATTTAGTCCTTCATAGGTACCAGAACCTCCAAATACTCTTGCTGGCAGAGTTCATGGATCCTGTTGCCTGACTAATCCGTCTACTGACTTCCAGGTCTGACAGCTCAGAGACATAGTTTGCATTACCAAGGTATGTTAAGCTCTCTGTGACTTCGACATCCTCGCCACAATCCTATATCGACTGAATAGGTTCTCTTAACAGTCCCCCAAATTCCTGGATCTTGATCTTGGTCCAGGAGACCTCTAAGCCCATGTGCTTTGACTCATTATTGAATGCATCAAGAGCCACCACCAAAGATTCCAGGGACTCAGAATAGCAAAACATTGTGACTTTGATGTTGCCCAGTGTTGTTCCACACTAACATTGGCCAGTAGCTCTGGCCATTATGTAGTCTATACAAGTGTTGAAAAGTGTTGGTGCAAGGACACGGCCTTGCTTTACTCCTGAATAAACAGGAAAGAAGTTCGACAGGCCTCCATCACACTTTACAGCACTTTTAGTACCAATATATAGGCTTGCTATTAGAGGTTGATGTAAGCTGCAAGCAACCTACAGGAGTGAATCTAGACTGCTCCAGTCTTTGGTACCCTTGTAGGTGGCTGCGGATTCGTTTTAAAAGAATGCAGGCGATAACCTTGCCTGGTATATTATGCAGTGTGATACTATGGTAGTTGCTACAGGCCTAATGACCTCCTTTCCCCTTCCAGAGAGAGAGAGATGACCATGCCTCTCAACAGGTCAGGGGAATGGAACCGGACTGCTACGTGGCTGCTAGGACAGTATGCAAGCTCCAAGTTACAGGTTCACCCACAGCCTTTAGCAGTTCAGTAAATGCCTGCAGCTTTCCCACCCTTCAGCTTAGATATTACCTCCCTGACCTCAATCAGGATAGGAGGATCCTCATTGATGGGTGGGTGTGACACAAGAGTTGCAACGTCACTTGCGTCTAGACTAACTGCTGGAGGATCTACCTAATACAGTTGCTCAAAGTACTCAGCCCAATATCTACAAACCATCATGATATGAGATGATCTTGATCTACTGAGTGGACTGTAGTCATCTGTATAGAGGGATTTTCCACAGAGGTCATTTACTAGGAAATAGCTTTAGACCTCCTCTGCAAGATTCTTGAGGTACTGTTCCTTATCCCTTTTCAGCAGAGGCAAAAGCCTGCACACCAAGGAATAGTGCAAATCCTGATATCCATCCAGACTACCCAGACAACACGCATCTCTAGTGAGATGAAATTCTACATTGTCCTCAGGCATTCGCCAATAGACTCCTTCACTGCATATTTTATGCTTAAAGGAATCCCATAGAGCTACAGGGTCCATCAGGTTTTCAAGCACTGTTAACCGATCAGAGATTGTTGCAGCAAACCTATGTGTACACTACTCTTCCCCAAATCTTTCTAGATGAAACATCCTAGAGTGGCCATTAGAGAGATGGGGATTTGAAGTGGAATCACAGGGTCACTACAATCAGTCTATGGTCAGTGCCACAGAACTGTAAACCCTGCAGTTCTGGAGGATCCTCTAGCAAGTGCTAACAAGGATGTGGTCGATCTCCTTGGCCACAGTACCTGTATCCCTTTACCCTAGCAAAGTCCCGGAGAAAGAAGGCTATTCTCGCTACCGAGATCAGCTCCCAAGCCATGGGGACTGACAGACATCTTGTAGCAACCTCGATCACAGTAGGATATCGTACTAAAGTACCCCAGTACAATGCGAATGTCTCGGGGACATTTGTCTGCCACAGATGTGAGTTTGGCATAGAATGCCTCTCATCAAGTTTACGAACGTCCGCAGGAGTTTACACAGCAATAAGAGATACAAAGCAATAAGCATAATTCAGTTTCAGTGCCATAATTCTCATCAACTGGAGAAACCTATACTACCGAAGGGTGGAGTAGGCTGGATATGGCTATGGTTCCTCCCTGGAGTTGATGATCATTGGCCCATGACCAGTAATAGGTGTATCCACCCATACTGATGCTGCTATCACGTCTCGCCTCCAAGAGGGCAGCCACCTCAACTCCCAGTTGTTTCAGTTCTTTCGAAAACTGGTAATCTATCATGCCATAAAGACCGCATTTCCAAGCTCCTACCCGAACAGCCAACCTTGGGTAGTTGCTCCTGGTGGGGGCCACTTCTGCCACCCCCACCGACGTTGCCCCATGTAAAAGAGGGCAGTAGGTTGTGGGGTCCAACATCCGCCTGTGGAGTTCCCTTTGGGATTTGCCCTACAGGCTTCACACCGGATTGGCAGTTGCCAGAGCGCAGGTGGGTCGAGCTCTAGCATTGGCCCTCCCAATGGGAACCAGAGCCCACCTCATTTGCTGGGTTGGAGGAGCAGTACCCCTCCCCCGTCCCAACCATTACCTCAGGGGGCTGAGGGGCAGGAGGTACAGAGCCAGGGCATGTCCACATGCCGGTGGGCCATGACTGCTGCTCTGAGATCCCAGCAGTTTAGCCTGGGACTGCAAGGTGCCCAGTTTCCATGGGTGGTTATGAGGAGGGCTGCTCCCTTTTTTCGCTCTAGGCTAGCCAGTGTTGTAAGCTGAAAGCAAGAAGGCATACAAGCACTAAATACTACTTAAGCTACCACACCATCGCTTCACATCATCCTAAATTATGATATATTCTGTACATATATATTTATATGTAGTATGTACTTTTACTAGAGTAAATGAATTAAGGGATGATATAGAAAATGTAATTATAGGAGGATATCCCACGAATTTTCCAGCAGTCTTTGGAAAGATAATAGCAAGTAGACATACTCTCTCTCTCGTAACTCCAGTAGTGTGATTCAGTAGTGCTGGGACTTTAGTCTTGTAACCAAATATTGTCTCCATCGGAACTTCGCGCCATCTGTGTTGGCTATTACATCTAGTGAGCTTGTC